AAAAAACCAACTTCGAAGAGCAATCTACTCCAAGTTTTGAAGCAAGAGTGGCCGAAAATCCCACAATCTAAAATTGACGAGATGATTCTCACGATGCCCCAAAAGATCATCGAACTCCACGAAGCAAAAGGAAGATCTACTAGATATTAATTAAATTATAAATATATCAATTCATGTGAACATGACTGAAAAATTTCATTTTTTTGAAAAGATGGTGTCTATTTACTTGTGACCACTCTGTGTATACTAGATGTTATTTGTCCCACAAAAGAAATTGAATTACCTAACCCTTGATACAAAAATTTTCCTCACATTAGTACATCACAACATCACTGCATGAATTGCAGTGTTGGAACTAGAGTCAAGTTAAGTGTCCTACTTATTTTTTACATATTTTTGTTCTGTCCTAAGTACAGAAAACTGAAGTGCCAACCCTCAGTTCACATTTCATGCTTCCAGTCATTCATAGTCTAAGGTTTGCAATCTGAGCACCATTTTTACCTGTTTTCAACTGAAATAAGTGATTTTTGAACTTGTTACCAGCTATCATGTGACAGTTTTTGATATTAGGAGGTGACTGAATCCTTAATTACCATTGTTGAAGGGTCAGTCATTTGGGTTATACTAAGATGCTTGTTGCACTTTATACAAATCTATTCAATAATTTTTTCAATTTTTTGTAGTGGCAGCCATCCTCTAGTTATATGTCACAGCAATATTTCCTTTAGATTACTCCTGTTGAGAGACTCGGGTGACATTTTTGAACAACTGTTAGAAACATTAGAGTTCGATGATGATGTTCCTGCCAGACAGCTACTCACTGTCTCCCCTTTTGAAAATTGTATTGCAAGCTATCCTTGATACGATTACATTTCTGCATTTGTAGACTTTGAGCAGTCTCCTAACACATAACAAAATCAGTCTGTTTTCAGTTATAAGTAAGCAGATATTCTACAAATTGGTATAAAGGTCCTAATGTAAGGGCTAGCTAGAAGTGATATTGGTTGAATCTTTAAAATGGTTGTCTAGAAGGAATGTAAGCTAAATCTGTAATATGGTTACATACAAAAGAGATGGGACTGACTCTCTTCATTATTATTACCTCCACCTCCAAAGGTGATGGAGGTTATGTGTTTGTCAGCAAAATTTCCCCAAAACAGCTAAATGGATTTAGATGAAATTTGGACTATGATCCAACTTAGAAGTGATTAGTTTTTGGAGGGTCATGGTCACAGCTATTAACATGGGGACCAATTTTTCACACCATTTTTCTCTATAACTCAGTCAAAAATTATCAGATTTTGATGAAACTTTGTGGACATATATATAGAATATAAATTCTCATTGTTCTGCCAAAACTGGTCTGTGTCCATTCATAATGATGGACGTACAGACACATTTTCGTATTTTTTTAGGGCCGAATATGATCAACACTTTGTGGTGGAGGTGTGTACTCTACTGATTGCCTCCTCTAGTTATTTAAGGATTAAGTTGAAGAAATGTGGGTGAAATTTCAATAGTTTAGTTAGAAGAGACGAAGGAAAATTTTGAAGGGAGATGGAGTTTAAATTTGCAAATATGATCATTGTCAGAAAAGTATGGGTCTAGCTTTGAAATAGTTGCCTAGAAGGAAAAGAGTTGAGTTATTAAAGTAACTTGCATAAAAGAAATTGGTATTTGACAAATTATTTTAAGCTTTAAGAAGGGAAATTGGAGCAGATAATACATATCCATAAGGAGCCAAAACTTCTAAAAGAAGCAAGTTATAGGTAGTATATAATCGATACTTGAAACCGTCAGTACTTGTTGAAACTCCATAATTACAGAATTGAGGAAAAACAAGACATTTTTACGTTTCACAAATAGTACAATTGTCTTGTTTTTCCTCAATTCTGTTATAGACAGCAATTTTTCATTTTCTCAATTTCTATGAGTGGTGTAGGATATTTTCTTTTCTTGTAAAATTATAGTTGTGTGGTTCCTACTTTAACATTAGTATCCTAGAGTGTTGTGACCTATGAATAGTTTCTTTGTGACACTTTTCATTGCATGATCTCAACCTTTTCATGGAAACCTCGAATGTGTTGGCCTATGTTGATACTTCCTTTTGTATTCTTTAGTTGCATGATCCTACCTTAATCATCGATGTCTTGAGTACCATAAAATAATAATTTTTTTTGTCAGTTTGATTACTGTCTATCCTGAGTTTTAGGTTATTGATTTGTTTATCAGTTTCTATTTGTTTGGTGACAGTTTCATCATGAATAACCGAGATGTAATGGCATATGTGTAATTTTCGTATTTGATTGTTTTAGTGCTTAATTACACCTTAACCACAATGTAACACTGAAGAATAGCAAGGGACATCTAGGCTACCCTATTCACTAAATTAAACTAAAACCTTAAAAAAGCCCACAAAACCTTAAAGCCAGCCTTTCTCATTCAAATATTTATCAAGCTTTCTCTTAAACTCCCTTAAATTAACTTCATCCACCACATCCAAAGGCCAACCACCCTGTTAGAAATATGGAACTGTTTTAGCTGAAGATGACATTTTGGTCCATCTACGCTACCCTATTCACTAAATTAAACTAAACCGTTAAAAAGCCCACAAAACCTTAAAGCCAGCCTTTCTCATTCAAATATTTATCAAGCTTTCTCTTAAACTCCCTTAAATTAACTTCATCCACCACATCCAAAGGCCAACCACCCTGTTAGAAATATAGAACTGTTTTAGCTGAAGATGACTTCTTTCCTGCCAAAATTTATATTAGTGTTCTCTAATCTTACCATTTTCATCATTACATATGAAAAAAAAAGATGCTTTAGTATTATAAATTCTCTTTACATTGTTAAACATTTTAATCAGGTCCCCTGTAATTCATCTTTTTTGAAGAGAAAATAAGTTCAGAGATCTTAACCTATCCTCATATGTCAACCTATCCATTCCAGGTATTAATCCTAATAGCCCTTCTCTGAACCTTTTCTAAAGTAAGAAACCCAAGAGTGAATACAATACTCCAAATGTGGCCTAACCAATGATATTACAGCTTCACTAGACTTGTATTCAGTAGTTCTGTAGGTATAATGTAAAATCCTATTTACCCTTAAGAGACTAATCAACCAGAACACCAAGATCTTTTTCTTCCATAACAATGTTAAGGTTATTCCTATCAATAATGCAAGGAAAATAAGCCTGTGGTTACTGGGGTAATTTTTATCACCATACCACCAAATACAAGGAATTCCAAAGGGAGGTAACTTCAACCTACAATTACAGATTTATATATTTTCAGACTGGAATTTTCATACATTACACACCTTAGTAAGAAAGACTTCAGAAAAACTTTGCACTTCAGCACACTTGAAGGTTATTAAGGTTTTCTAGACACAGCAAACAAATTTATCTACTGTAGCTTATTCCAAAAATAATTTTTACTAAAAACATGACACAATGTGTGGACTTAGATACTAGCATCAATAATAAAACATTCAATATCAAAGTTTTCAACACAATGGACCCCTTTCAACTTTCAAGCTATAAACTTTCCATTTGAAGCTGTAGACTTTCCATTTCCAAATATGAATATTCCAAGTAAGTTATGTTATAATGAATACTGCTCACAGCTTATTAATCAAAATATAATTTCTTCATTATTACAAGACTTTTTGGAGAGAGCTCGTAAATGCACTTTCATTTTTCACAAATGAAGCTTCTCCTGTGACATTTTAAACACAAAATTCATTCAACTTTGTGGAAAAGTCAACAATATCCTTACTACTGATTATAGGTTTAGAAGTTTTACAGAGTATCACAATCTTTTAAAAAAATTCACATCTACACTATAATTCCTTTGGAAGTTGTTTAGAGTAATAAGGAACAGGTTTAGTGTATTTTCCACCATTGGTTTTTACCTCCTGTTAGTTCAAGCTGTTATTAAATATAATTATTATTATGATTGATTTTAGCTATATAACAGTTTTGTGTATGGAATGACATTATATTATTAGTTGGATTATATTACTTTTTGCTAATTGCTTTTTTAGCATGTTTATGATTGTTCTAACTTTCCTTTTTAAGTCTTATTATTAAAATTCTTGAACTTTATTGAGGCTTATCTTTTTGGCTTTTACAGGAGATTTAACTTATTGCTTCCTGTTGCCTGCTTCGTGTGTTTTGTGGAGGATGGAGATTAGTTGGAGTGAGAATAGTTGTGTTCGACATACTTTGTAATATGTTTAACATATTGTTTTATTTCTATTACATTTAACATTTTAATATTTTCGTTACAGAACCAATATCCTACATATTTATTCTACAGTTTGGGTATTGATTTCATTACTTATTTGTTGTATTCATAAAAGTTAGTTTTTGTCTGTACTCTTGGTGATGTTTCTGTTACTTGAACAGTAACATATTTTGAGTAATTTGTCTCATAACCACACTCCTCTGAACTTATACTGATGCATCAAGTTTAGTGAGTTTTCATTGGTCAAGAGACATCGTTAGAGAGAGAGTTGGGGAAAGTTCAGCTTAACACAAATTTACAGATGTTACAATGTCCAAAGAAAATAAAATCTACATCAGTGCTTAAAGCCATAAGCTAATGATTGTATGTTCTCTAAGTAAGGCATATTTAATAATCTCTTTATTGCTTCTTTCATTAACAATATTGATTAGAATGTTTAATATGTATAATTTTTTAATTTAATCTGTAGTATTATACTTTTATTATAGAGATTGTTTTGCATTTTTTGCTTAATATATGTATTTAGGACTAACCTAAATCTTCTAACATGGTTGAACCTAGTGAGATTTATTGGGATTTAGGCCAAAACTTTTACAGCAAGGGTACTGAACTAATAAAACAATGCACTCTGCTGATCTTAATAAGTAAGAATGGAAGAAAAGTATATTTAATTAGCTATACTCATTACCAGGGTGATTTTTTTAACTTTACTCTAAGTAATGACCTTGCACTTATTGAAAGTTAATAATAATAATTGCTATAAATACTGATAGTTAAAATTTTTCATTGTTTGATCATAACTTGATCACTGGCATTTTGAGTTCTCTGGAATATGGATGGCTTTCTCGTGAAGTTTGTGATAATATGATCACCACTTGGCCTGTGAGATTGTGTGCTATAGAACATTTATGGTGCTCATCTGAATTCTTATTGTATCTTTACCATATATATACACCTGGAAAAAAGTTAAGCACCCCCAAATATTTTTCAGGATTGCTTATTGAAAATAAGGTTTAATTTTCATGATGTTGAGCAATGTTCATAATTTCAAACATAGTTAAAAGGATGTGAGTGTTCAGGTGTGACATTTAA